TTTACAGCCCAGCTCGTCTACAAACCCCGCAGCTCCAATTATACCACCAAATAATTTTCTGTCCTGCGAACTGGCTACCTTCCAAAGCCCAACTATATATCCAGTAAATAATTCATACGTGAATTGCCCTAAGTCATTTATCCCCTAACTTGGTTCGGGCTTCCCACCACTAAAGGCCGACTGCACTCACGTAAATCAACCTGACTCTCTTGACTTCCAACCTAGTCCTGGTTTCCCACCCTTTTGTTCTTACAGCTGCCTACACTCCCCTACCAGCCTCTACCTTCCCTCTCGACTCCCTCCTCTTCCTCCTACACTGTAATTTAACTACCAACAAGCCTATCCCTGTTCTATCTCCTCTAGCATTCCAATGCTCGAAAACTGTGTCCCCACATCCTTTAGGTCTCATGCCCAGCCTTCTCCTGCTGACTCCCCGTACGTCGATAACTCTAGACTAACTGGTACTTATTCCCCAAACATTATTCCCTCACGGCTTACATATCGGCCTCCAACTATTTTCTAAATACCGTCGACAATAGCCTTACTGTTCAAAGCACGTTCGAAACTATATCATCGAGTGCCAGGTCTGTTATAAACAAGGTGGCCTGGGTCAGAGCCACTGCTCTCGAAATGACGTCTGATATTATATGTATAACAGAATCTTGGACCCATTATCTAATTCCTGACTCTGGCCTTTTTATACATGACTTCGAGTTTTACCGTCAAGACCGCACCACTAGGCGTGCGTGAGTGTGCGTATGGAGAGGTGGGTTGACTAGGTGGTAATTGCATATAAATGGGGATTGAGTTGGGGAAGTGTGTAAGCCTAAGTAATTAGTGAGGTTATCGTCAGGTGCTTAGAGGCTTGAAATATTACATTGTTTGGCTTATTCCTATGCCGTGAAGGTGTGTTTTGGGAAGTGAAGGTGCAAATATAGATGCTTGTTCATTCGAAGGGAAATTTCTGGGAGCTTTTATTGCTTTGATCCACATATTTAGAGAGTTTTCGTTGTGCTGCTGTACTAAATAAGGTCTTGTATGTGTCCTTTGGCGGTTAATTTCTACTAATGGCTGATCGTTTTTGGGAGTCGTGGTAAGACTTATATAACTATATAATAGTGCCACGCGACTGGGTCTGTGAACTGCGCCATTGATCTGTACTGGTTGAGTTTCGGTGTCTTGCTGTGCCCATTTCGTTTGTTTCTGCCCAGTCGTTCTAACTGGCTTTACACTTACGCACATTTTGTCATGGGTGTCATAGGTAGAAGTACTTGCTGGAGGCTCATCTGCGTTTATCCTTTTGTTTAAACTGGGTTATGCGTTTTGGTTTAATAGCGTTAGAATTAGAAGCACTCGCTAGAATGTTCGACTGAAGGAGCCGAATCCAGATTATCTCATTTACACTTGGTGTTTTTTCCCTGAAGTTTGCGTCTATGGATCGATCTTTATGTTCTGCAGACTTCTATTTAATTCAGGATTTTGTAGGACTAGAGAGGATTCGGTCCGTAAGTAGACCTGGCTGACTTTATTGTCTTTGTGCATGTCAGTATTCGTTTGAGTGGTGAAATAACCCAAACACCCAAGGCCTTCTGATTGTCAACGTTTAGCGGTGATTTACAGTTTAGAAAGTGAGCCCAGAAGCTGGAGGCTCTGCAGTTGTCGAGTACGGAAAGTTGCCTTTGCTTACGTTGGAAGACACAAGCCAGCCTGTTCAAGTCGAGCATCCGTCCTTCGAATTCGAGTCAAATCCCCAGCTCTCCGAGTTGTCGTTGATTTTATTAGGTAGTATAGGGCAGACTGAACGTCGCGTGAAAACAAACTGCGAGCTGACAACATATACTTTGGATTTGAATTTCGAGTACACCAACTCGAAAGTTCTACCATTCTTGGAATTTTGGGATCTTGACGTTATTTCCCACGGTACCAGAAGGAAGATTCTACCCGAATTCTCCAAGGAACAGAAACATTGACTAATCCTCTCATTTGCGCCGGTGAAGTTTACCACAAATTCTACATCAACAGCTAATTGCAATCGTCCACACCTCTGTACAAGGCTCCCTACTTGACAACTTTTCTCCGAGATCTACGTCGAAAACTATAAAGGGCTGAGTCGTTTCCTATTTAACTTCATAATTGGCAAATTCTTCATTCTAACAATTGTTGAAAACATCTTGCACTACTTTAGAACTGATTGACAAGTTTGAAAACCCTCAACAATGAACCAATCAGTTAAACAAACGCGTTCACAAAAGTTGCACAACCGCGATTTGAACTCGATAACTGCGGGCCCGGAGGCCAGAGTGTTAACTACTGCACTACCAATGAAAGCTCTGACGTTGATCAGATAAGTTTGATAACTACAGAAGACCAGCTGAGAACGGTCTTTGATCCATTAGCAGTCTCTTGCGATAAAATGCCGCTGGAATCATTAGAATCCAGGGAGATTACGCACAATAGGCGCCAAGAGATAAGACAGGAAATAAGAACCGATGCCCCGCCAGGAGGCCTCGAAAACTGTATGACAGACAGGACGGATTCTGCGCTTTTCGGTCGCTGTGTCGGCTGTAAGGAACTTAAAAAGCGAGTCCAGACGCTAGAAGAGAAGCAAGGCCTACTGACGGACATCATCATAACTATTCTGAAGCCATTGCTATCCTGAAGCACTGTAAAATAGAATTACCAAATAATCCGCCGAATTTCCGATCGATCAGCAACGAACATCCTACTAATAAAGGCACTAGCGCGGAAAAGTCAAAGCCAGTC